TTTACCAGTCTTGGACACTTACCAAATGCCTCTTCTTTTTCCATTAGATGATCATTTTCAAACAGCCACATCACAACTTAAGGCTTATTGTTTTAGCTTGTGTTCATTCTCCCCCCACCCAGCAAATAACTTCATGTCTTCAGGGGGAACTGACACAGAAATATCAGCCGGTTCATGAGAAGTAAAGCACTAAAGGACATTACACCCTGCCTTGGCCACGTACTCAGAAAGAAAAAGAAAAAGAAAAAACGGAAACCCCACATCAACACAAAAAAAAAGAAAAGCCCAACAACTGCTGCTCCTACGGATGGTGCATCAAACACCTCAAAAGTAGCTGAATTCATCCACAACTTATCCAAAAGCCAACACCAAAGCTTCAAAGCCTTTTAAGATCCTCCAGGCCCGACACGGAGTGAAGTCGGATGCTCTCAGTGTGCGGAAAAGCTCACCAAGAGGCTTTTGTACCAACAGGCTCAGGCTCCAGCAGTATCTGCTGGCCGGGGAAGCAGCCAGGCCACAAGGATCAGGAGCGAGGTTTGCTTATAAACCTTGCAGCTCCTGTCTGAGAAGACAGACAAGAGAACTTGTAAGCGCTCCCTAGCTAACAATCCGACCCCAATTGAGAAAGTCAGGCACACACAAGTTCTCTGGTTTTTATTCTAAATTCTCTATGCTGGAGGAGCTGCAGCCTTTTGTGTGGAAGGATTTCACATTCATTTTCAGTAAGGGTCCCATGCAGACTTCAAAGGAAAACATTAAACTTCCTCGGCAAGCCTTAGGCTAACTTCAGAGGATACATCACAGCATAATGTTTAGCGGTTGGATCACATTAATTCACGGAAAAAAAAGGAACTGCAGGACGCCCACAAGACATTCCCTACATATTTCCATAATCAAGGACACTTCTGCTGAATTACTGTTCACATAGCAAAAAAAAAAAAAAAAAAGCCAGCAACCAAGACACTAACACAGCGGTGTTTGGCCTCTGTCTTTCTGCTCTGGTTCTCATTCTTTTTTCCTGGTCACCAGGTACACACAAATTCAAACAGCAAAGGCTACAAGGAGTTTGAATAACGCAGAGTAGGTAGAAACCAGCATCCCATCTGTGCCTTTGAGAAAGAGAAAAGATGCTATTTACATGGCTGAATGTCTATTATGGTATCGGTTCCCCCAGGCCCCACCACAAAATGACGCAGAAGGCACTTGTCTCAAGAAAAGCTGCTCTTTCACCTTTCCTGGAGAGGTCTTGCTGACATTGATTATCGAATTTTTATTTTTCTTAATCTAAAACCCCTGAGATGTTCTGCCCGGGAAGGATAACAAGTATCTTTTGCTCATTTTCTGGCGATTAGAAGGCACTGAAATATGCTTTTTAACTACAGTTGCCTGGCATGGTACTTTTGTTTTTACAGTAAAGCCAAAGAGGACTGGGACACGCTGTACTAATTTTTAAGAGCAGACAGTAGCTGCTCCAAAGCTTTATCTCCCAAGCAGAATGGCCAAAAAAGCAAAATTTGAATTGTACAGGTGGGGAAAGGAGGAACATTAAGACACTAACTGACTTACTGAAGGTCACACAGGAATCTTTTGCAAGGCAAGGTTGAGTTCCCAAAGTCTCAGTCCACTTAGGCATTGGAAAAAGCAATGAAACAAGAGTATGTACTAAATTTGGCACAGATTTTTAAATGATACATTGCTACAAGGGAACAAAAACCTCCACTCATGCTAACCCAGACAACAAAGGAACTTATAAAGGAAAAACTAGTTACTCACTCCACCCAACCCACCCGATCACCTTATATTTCCTAAGTCAATAAGACCTTTCTTGGCCAGACAATCCAACCCACAACTCAGATCTTATTACAAATCAGACATACTAAACCACTTTCTCCCTCCGGCTGCAGAAGATAAAAGACCAAGCAGGCCACATTTGGTAACTGGCTTCACGTAACAGCTTTGGATTTTCTTAAAAGCCTCGGCATCGATTATTTTCTTTAAATAGCAACGGCTTATTGAGAAACCTTCTACCCGTTTTAAGGCACAAGGTTTTCCTTAAGTAGAAGGGAAAACAAAAACTGCCCTACCAAGGCATATTTCTCAAGGAGTTTCGGATACGCAGCCATGGCAAAACACTTTGAAGTCAGTGTAAGTTAACACTGGTGCTGAAGGGCTAAGGGGAAACTTGAAGAGGAAATAAAAGCGTGCACTGACACAAAACAATACTAGGATTCAGCTCCAGCTAGCACGTCAGCCAACGGCATGAGCCAATGCTGCAATTTCTATGTATCCAAAGGAGCTAAAAGCTCATGGCATGCAAAACAGCACAGCTCTCATGTGGTCTCTGCACAACTTGGGGCAAAAGAAATACAGGAATTAATTTCATCAAGCCAAATCACCAACACCCTGCTGTTACATAAAAGTCTGCTTTCTGGGCAACGTTTCCAAAGATGGTGTCATTTGGGCTGTTTTGATTAAATCGACATAGTCAGGTTCAAGATGAGATACACTGCAGAATGAGAAACACTCTGGTTTGACAAAATCTCCCACTCCCTTTTCAGCCCTCATGGTGCTTGTTTCTTCCTTCCGTTTGTCACATTTTCATATGGAAAACAACCACAGCAATTGCAGTGCCTGGTTCTCAGATGTTAATATCAGGCTGTGATGAAAGAACTGCAGAAGGCCTCGGGGAGATGTTTAGAACCTAACTCAAACAGATAAAAAGACGACTATTTATGTTTGCCTGGGAAAGTTTCTGCACATATTGGAAACCTCTCGAGGCAGGGACTGCCCTTCTGTTCTCAGTTTTAACAGCCAGTTGTACAAATTACGATTGCACAATTACTCTTATAAGGTTTTCAAATTATGCAAAGAATGTGTCTGATTAAGGTTTATAACTCTGAGAAATAAAACCTAAAACCCCAAACCCTTTGCATTCAACTTGCGTGACTCGCCAGTGCTCCAGAGTCTACAATAAACTTGTAGAATGAGCAGGTACAAGCCCTGCAAGCACACGGTGGTTAATACTTCCGTGATTCAATATGCATACCCTCACATTTTGCTTCATAACTTCCCTCTCCTGTCCATATTTTAGCAGTCAGCATTCTGGGGCAGTTTCTGCATGCCTCGACAGCTGGAAGCTCAAATTCCAAGCAGTCTGCAGCTACATCAAAAGTAAAAAAAAAAAAAGCAGAGCACAAACTATCTACCACCAAAGCAGTAAGTAAAACAAGCTTCCTTCTTCATCCAGTAAAGCATGTTCTGTGTCCCAGCACAAAATCCAGCTGCTAACAGCTCTTCCAGTGAAAAGACAGGGAAGTGACACCCATTTTACAGATACCTCAAGTGAGCACAGGAGCCTGAAGTCACACAGCTGATCCAAGAGGCTGAACGTATTTCCCATCCAGACCTGGCACAGACTGCCGTTGACATTTCCATTTCAAACCTTCTTTCTGTTGAGGAAATGTACAATCTTCTTGTCTTTAAAAGCCTGAGGCTTTGCAGTCCTCAAGGACAGCTCTGCTAAGAACCACTGCAATTGTACTGGAACAAGAGGAGTCCCCACGAGGCCTGGAATGACTCAGAGGTGACAGCCTCAGAGGAAACCTGGTTATTCAGAAACTGCAAACCCCAAAATTGCAGCAGTCTGCAATCAGCATTATTCATACCAGAATGCTTAAATTCAATTGTTTGGTGTGGAGATGACGTCACAGAAGAACACATCGACCTGGCCCATGCAACAACCAAAAGAAAAAGGAAGAGAGAGCCTCCAGCAGAAGTCAGGTCCGAGCACCCAACACAGAGAATCCAAAAGGACCTCCAGAGCTGCTAAGATGTCACCCCTGCAGGGCCAGACACCCTTGATGCAAGGGGACACGTTCTAATCTTTTCTGTGCAAACAGGAGGAGGGGAAGCACTACAGACCTTCTAAGAGGCAGAGCACCTCTGCCCCTTGTGCTCCTGGCCTCTCTCTCTCAAGGCTGCTCCAAGAAGCTGAACTGGTTTAAGTTGTACACACACACACAGAGCTCACAGAGCAATTTCCTCTCATGTCAGCTAATAAAACTTACGGTGTGTCTGTTTTTTCTGAACACAGATTTTTATAAGCTGGATAAACTTTATGGAACAGATGATTACCAAGGCAGCCAAAACCTGGAAACCTGATGCCTGACCACAGCCAGGCACTGCAGGCTCCAACAGACGCTCTGAGAAAGTACAGTTTTCACACTTCACAAGATCCTCCTACTGGCCTACTCCCTCTGCAAAGGTCCCTGACTTGCTGGCTCTGAAAGTTTTTCATTTAGCTTATCCTGAAGACCCTTCCCCTTATAATCAACAGATCAGAAGACAGGACAGAATCCTTCACCCTCCCCAGCTCAGAGCACATTCCACCATCTACCTCTTGCTTTTTCACCGCAAAGTGTCTTGTCAGTAGACTGAGAAAAGGTACGAGGGCTTGAGCAACAACCCATCAGTCTTTTGAAAGCCTTAAATTTCAGTAGAAGCATCAGAGAACGTTCCCTTAGCCCAGCCTTCAGCGAGGTGACTTGGTACAGCTCGGAGTTTAACAGAGAGAGCATCTCCAGGCACCTCACTCCAAATCATGATCACCAACAACCCTTTGGCAATGCCGATATTTTTACGACAAGAAGTACTGGGAGGGCAATTCACATAGTCCTGGCCATCGGTTAGTGCTGTCTTGCAGCTGGAAATGAGAGGCAGGAGGCGGTATCACAGGAAGAGACACATCACCTGTAAGCACTCCAGAGGCCTGAATTTGAAAACCTGTCCCCTACAGTTATTTTCAAGATTACTTCAAACAAAAACGGCGGCTCACAAAGAGATCCTTGAGGCCAAGAGCCTATTTTCCAAGCAAAAACTACGGCAACAGTTGAGGCCAGGCACTTCCACAGCAACTGACCCGTGTTGCGAGCGAACACACCCATACGATCCTCGGGGAGGAGGCGTCCGCCCAGCACCTGCGGGTGAGGTCACGCACGTACCTTGGAAATGAGCTCATCGTGGTTGGCGAGATGAGCCCTGCAGTGAATGCAGCTGTAGGTCCTGTGGCACGAAGGCAGATATGCCTGGAAAGTCTTGGACCTTGTCATCTTCACCATTGGAGCCACCGAGCGCTGCGTGAACTCTGGGGTGGCCCAGGAGGCACTCCCGCAGGACGGGTCGCACGGGAAACACCGGAAGACACAGGTAAAGGCCGTGGTTTGGCAGGTGATGGGTGTGGGGCAGGCTCCACACGCTGGTGACCGCTTCAGAGGAAGAGATTCGGGCAGAGGGAACCGGGGCCTTCACACAAACCTACGTTCAAAAAAAGAAACAGAGACAGAACACTCAGGGCTTGATGGGGAGAGCAGGGAACAGCCAGAGCAGCCAGGAGACAGGTGTGATGTCTGCAGACTAGATCAAGGAAGACAGATTTTTATTCACAGCTCAGCCACTGACTTGCTGACTGCCCTTGCAGTGCTCTTCCAACACTTAATGGATTTGGAAATTACAACAGAGGTGCTCAGGTGCTAAGATGATGATTTTCAGCAAGCCTAGTCTCCCAAACACCTCTGGGGAACTGCACGCATCAAGGTCCAACCCTGTACTACCCCTCAGAGAAGCTGGGCCCTGTTAGCTAGAAAGAAAACGGGGACCTGGAGTCAGCCCCACGAGCTGCTGGCCTCTGTGATTCACTGACGTGACACCCCAGAAGCTGGCATGAAAGCTGGGAGCTGGACATGGGTTTCCTCAGCCACCAGGAAAGCGCACAAGTGACCAAACCAGTTCTTCTCTCCGTTTTGCCCTAGTTTCCACATGGGAAATGGAAGATTACCTCACCACGCTCTCCCTGCAAGCTCTGAAGGTAAAAGCTACTCTATAAACTACCCTCTAGTATTTTTTTTTTTTAAACTCAGAACACCTGACAGCAGTCAAGGCAAAGAGCAGCCTCCAAAGACTAAACTTGATCACAAGAGACAGTCAAAAACCCTATTCAGGATGGAAACACCTTTTTACTATCCAACATCATCTGACAGAAACCTGCAAGGCAGCTCAAGTCTGGGTCTTTTTTTATTGGCAGAAATCAGTTTTTCAGATCCCACATCTATAAGCTTTACCAACCACAAATGTTCCTTCTGAGGATGGAAGAAGCATAAAGGAAGCAGCTCCCTCCCTCCCTGACACATGGCGTGCATGCATGCTCTAGAAACTAATCATGAACTCTGGCTGCTCCTCCCATGAGGATTTTCCTTTTCCATAAAACATGTCATTCTCTTCAGTTTCTGAGCCTGCACTTTGTGTATCAAATACTGGAGCAACACAGCCCACTCCCCTCAAAACCCTCAAAAAATATAAACCCTACACCTGTCCTGCAATGGAAATTTCTGAAGTGGACAAAAAACCCCAAGAGCTTAAGAGCTGTTCTCTAAGCTAGTATGAGTAACTTGCCTGAAATGCAGCTGATAATCTTCCAGGTTGGCATAAAGCCAGCCCAGGTTACTACGTGGCTCCACCTGCAGCCTGCGTGTTAAGCTGGCTCTGCTGCTGCTCGGAGCACCAGCCACGCACCCGGCTCGAAGTATGCGGCAGGAACGGCTGGACTTGGGCTGTTTTTAGCAAATACAGCTGCCTGGGGTGCTAAAGGGGAAGCTGCCAAAAGAGCACGATGGAAATCAGAAAGGGAAAACGAAGGCAGGACCCAAGAAAACCACTGCAGGAGGCCATCCTGCAGAAGTCCTAAGCATCCCATTTCAACGGTATCTTTGGTCCTGTGTTAGCGTCAGCAGTATCTCACCATGACAAAACTGTCCAAGTCACACTGAAAACAACCACAAAAAAATCAGACTGAGACTCCATTACTGCTGCTTGCCCTTTGTCCTTGTTAAAAAAAGAAGATTCGAGGTGTTTGAGTTGCTTCAGCATTCCTGAAAGCATCACCCACCGAACCAGCTGCCAACTGGACAATCCCCGAAAGCCAGGCACGCTCCCTGCAAGTTTTTCAGGGAATAGTTCCTACAAGCACCGCATTGGAGGGCTGTCACAGGCTCACAGGAGCATCACTTGATGCAAAGGTTCGTTATATCATGACCTCGCACAGTGCTCAACAGGAGGCAGATACCAGTCTGACAGCAGGAGACCTGGTTTTCCCTTTTTCTGAAATATTTTTCTTCTGCTCTCCAGAAAGCAGCTCCCTTACAGTCAAATAGGCGAAAAGAGTCTTTCTCACGCAGCAAACTGCTGATTTGATTATGATCTACGATGATGATAATAGCCAGTGCTTACATAGCACTTTTTGTTCTTAAAGCTCTTTGCAAACACTAATCAGATTAACCTTTTCCAATTAAAGTTACAGTGAGGACTTTGGAAGACCCATTCTGACACAGAAGGGTCCACTTCCCAGCTTGTTGGGAGCTAAAATTTCCTCCTGTTCACTCAAAGAATGATTTTGCCAGGAACTTCTCCAGCCAACCTGTAGCTAAGCAGACTGCCAGTGCACTATCCGGCATACAGCTGCACCTCTGGATTTCAGCAAGATTTGTCTTTCACACTAATCAGAGCAGAAAGACAAATCAGGCAGTTCTCCACATGCACCAGAATTTTGTCAAAACTGAGTTAGTTCTGCATTAGACAGCATTATTTTCTCCTCCAAGGTGAGGACTGAGCCCTCAGTTTGCAACAGGGCAGAAACAAAACAAAGCAGAATCCTTCCTTATGTTCTGCTGGTTAGATGCAAGTAAAAGCAACGCTCCCCAGCCTTCCTGAACTACTCAAGTGCCACCATTCGCAGTCACAATCCAGCAGAACCATCTCCAAATTTCAAGCCCCCGGCTCAGCAGCTGATACGCCGTATTCCAGCCCCAATGGATCTCAGCACCTGGAACTGGGGAGCCATGTGCCTTGTCCTCCAAGCAGAGGGAAGCAGGAGGCTCCGTGTGCTCTTTCTGGGGCCAAAGGCAATTGGATTCCAAGGCACAGCATCAAGAGCTGTCTGAAAGGAACGGATTACGCTGGACAGGCCATCTGGAGGAAAGAGCAAGGAAGGCCTGGCAATCACTTCACCCGATTTCTGAATGAGGAAACAGACTGTGTCTGAAGCTTAGATTTCACTGATTTGTAATGAAATGGTGCAATCCCCCCTCTCTGCTTTTCTTCAGAATGGGTAGGTAAATTTACCAACCACTGGCTTTATTCCTGCCCTCCCATAATGTCATGTCAAACATTTCTTTCCTCATCAGCTGCCTCCACATCTGGAGAAAACGGTCCACAGACACACTCAAAGCCAAACGGAGACATAAGTGATGCCCAACCAAAATAAGAGAAATCCCTTAAGTTGTTTGCTGATCCCTCTGTCCAGGTCTAAGCATCAACGCTGCAGAATGATGAGTAAAACAGGAAATACCCCAACTGCATTTATCTAACAGAGAAAGGAACACACACAAATTATCTGCTGTGTGCTGCTTTCTGCAAAAGCATTTCATGAGCAGTTTGTTTTATTTGACCTCATAACACATTTAACGTCAGTGAAAACATTCAACTTCTTTAGAAGTGGACAAAAAAATAATAAAAAATACCCAAGTGAGATGACATCAGAACTCAGATTAACTGCAATTCCTGTTCTCAGTACTGTGCCGAGAAGGCAAACCGAACTGATCTCTTAAGGCAGGGGTGAGAATAAAGATTTGTGAGACAAGATCTTGGTGGGAAACCTAGGTAAGAACTGCCTTGGAAAAACCCTTTAGATAAGCTCACACATGGTAACCACAGCTTATAAAGGCACTACCATAACACAGCCCTCAGCCCAACAGTCTGATCGCTGTGTGCCCTATCTGCCAAGAGCTCACCGCAGCAAGGGAGAGGAGGGAAAAAATAGTGGTGGATGCATTCTTAAATCCGATGAGCACAGCGAGTAGCTTTTAAGGACCCATTTCTGTCTTGAATATCATCTTGAACCGCATTAAATAGCACGCACGGCTCTCAGCAATGCAAACCCCAACCTTCCTAATTTTTTTCTTGTCCTAGCAGCCGGCACATTTGAACAAACACACATTTAAGAGCAAACGGCGCAGCGTTCACTCCCTTGTAGAACAAACGCATGGGGATGATTTTAGGCTGTGCCTCTGGTTTTTCAAAATGACAACTTAATGTCCATCAGCCTCACTGACAGTGGGCATTAGCGGAGTTGCTCCATTCACTGAAACAAAAATAAATGCTTTGATTACTTTATCATCGTGCCCAATAACGTTAGAAGGATAAGTATCGTCACCAGCAACTCAATCCAGTATTTTTCTTTTATCGTTCTTCAAGAGGCGTTTGTCTCTGGGATGGATGCACTGAAGCTGATGGAACAGAAGTCTGTGCATATTAATTAGTTCACAAGTAGTCAGAACACTAGTTTAGCAAAAGGAAAGAATTCCAGGAAAAACGCTTGTTAACATCATTTTTGTGGTTCTTGGTGAGAGAATCAGCTGAAGGTACCGCTTGCATGGACTGTGCACGTTAGGCCTGCCCTGCTTAATCCTGCGAGGTTTGAAGCAGATGCCACCTTCACGAAAGGAAAAAAGAAAGGCAACGTTTTCATTCAGTATTCACCCCCCACCTGTCCAACAGCCACCTCTCCCATGAAGCTGTCAGCAATTCAGGAAACACGCAAAAGAAGAGAAATGCCAAGTCTGTGCTGAACACTTGACAGACAAGGCTACTGCTCGTACAAGTCCATATGCCACGACAGCAGAGAACAGAAACCATCACACACAAGTCTAATTTTGCATAAACCCCATGTACAGCACAACTCAGGTGCAAATGTTCCTGTTCATTCTGGCAGGACAAACAACAGGTTTGTTGAGTCTGAGGGTTTGTTTCAGGGTTTGTTTCAGATTATTTGATTTTTAAGATAAACTTTAGTCCGTTAAATTAGAAAATAGCAAATGCCATAGGAAAAATCTGAAAAAAATCCATCTGTTTGGAAACCTTTCCTCTTTGGTGTCCCTTCTTGTTAATACGGTAGGAGCTAGAGATGTACTTATGCTGAGTACAATGAAAGCATAAGAGGAACTCAGTTTGCAGATTTCTGTTTCTACAAGGTCACAAACTGCAGCAGCTTGTGCTGTTCTAGGGTCTTAGCATGATTCTAAGAAAATGCTTGAGGTAAGAACACTTATCAAGGTCTTCTTGACATGGAAACTGCCTTAACGTTGCTTAATGCATCACAGTTTGAAAGAGGAAAGCTAGTCTGTGAGGTGATAAAATGAAACTGGAGTCTGGGTTTAATGCCCAGTTTTGCCAGTTTTCCCTGTGGAATAAAAATTAGCGTCAGA